TGGTGAAAGGATCAACTCCATTCACAGTAGTAACAGTCTTAACACACTTCATACTACAAACCAAATATAATTAATCCCTGCACTAGTCCTTTTGGAGTCAATCAAAGCTACGGCAGTCGAGTGGCGGGACCAGCTACGCAGACGTTTACCGAAGATCAGGAACCTCTACCTCACAATCAAGAGGCGAGCACAAAGAAATCAAATTGGTTTATACTAGCTCGTGAAAACGATATTGGATATTGGATTCCAAGACTTGTTGTAGTCATTGGTATTGCCAGGATACGACTTACTCGTTTTATGCAACCGAAATATACAAATCTCGCCTTATTGAGGAAACACTATAATGCCTGCAAAAGTATTGCGCCAGTTAATGAGTTTCATAAATTCTACAGAATGTTTTGTATTCGTTGATTAATGTTTGCGAATTATCCGAGAAAACACATTTCCAATTGGGATGTAACACAAGGCTGAATTCTTAAACTCTCATCTTTATATAATTTCAATGCAATCACACATATATCAGTAGGATAGTCTATAAATGACTTTAGAGACTTATTGTCATCATCAACTTACAGTTTGCTGATGATACTATACACCTAAACTATAAGAAGTAAACCCTGATACTGGAAGATATGAAAAGAATACCGGTGTTTGATTATAGGTGTCTGTGTTCTATCTCATGAATAAAGCAGTATAATATGGCGATTGCTGTTGAGGTTACGAACAAAGTGTTAGTTGAGGAGGGTAAGTTAGTCTTCAAGGTAGGAAGCTGAATAGGTTGAGATGGCTATAACACGTGATGGCATAGCAAGCCATCGCCTTCCTTGAGGGATAATGTTAGCCAGCACATGTTAAGGTTCCAAATGTGTTTGGGTCGGCCAAATGAAAAGCTGGTATTGGTTCATAAAATCGTTGACAGTTAGCTGGAAGAACTACTAGGTGTATATCTGCAAGTCTTTGTTCATGGCACAGATGCATTCACTCTGTGTAATCTCACGTATCTATTCAACTCATGTTGTCACTATTTATTTTCCCTCAAATTTTCGCTCGTTAAACTTCCATTTAGTTTTATGTCTCTACCTTTGTGTGGTGCATGGAATGTGGTAAACTGAACAGTTGAACTTCTTTGCGAAGTCATACTGAAAGCCAGGCAGAATGACACAGGCTAGGCATAACTAAATGCGAAACACTGAATAATGGTCTCCAAAATGTCAACAAATGATAATTGCAGTTCTTAATCTTATTCTTTGCTAAATGACAAATAAATACCTTTCAGTAACCTCCTCATCCACCCGGGACTCGTCTCCCACTTTGCAAGTGTTTTTCGTGCTTTATCACTTTTGTGCTAAGCTTTCAGTTATTCAGCATATGCCGTTGTTGACTAAGGACCTAGATGACATTAGTTCAGTAAGGTTTCGGTCGTGCAAACACGAGTCCTGTGCAGGTGAGTGGTTGCATTATCATTTCTCAAATGGTATACAGCATACTGTATATTAGGGTAAATCTTCCGCCTTGCTTGCAGAAGGTTGTGTTCCTCAGGGTACTGTTATCTCTCCTTTTTTTCTCTCTCTTGTCTTACATGACTTTTCTCTTTCTAATGAGAGCAATTTCGTCAAATACGCTGGTGATGTGACCGTCTCACTTCCTATCATGTCACAATGTGTCACCAGGAGGACTTTATTTTTGAGTTTATTTATATATATACTACTGCACATCGAGTTGCACTGCGATTCCGCATGTGGCAAAAGATTATGAATACCTTGCTCTTCTCTTCTGCATAAGAAATTTACCTCACAAGAACCGCTATATTAAGCTCAGTAAGGAAAAATATTAATTTCTCCACTTCAGTGTTGTGAGTTAATTTGTGAACTGTGTAGGCCCCTAAAGTAATGCATTTGGCGTGCATGCTGAATAGTGAAATCAGGAGTGTGCATGTTGCACTAAATCTTCTGCGCTTTCTGTATGGATTCCATGTTCATGAATTGACCACTTAACAATTGCTGAGTGTTGCATGTGATCCAGCTAAAATTATAACTGATAATTCCAAGAATTTCTGTCGTTTTCATTGGCAGCGGTTCACAGCCTATTGATTTTACACAAGTGCAATACCCATTGCTCACTTTACTGAGAAGACATTAACTATGATTCCAGAAAAGTAGTACGTCAGTATGTGAATTTCATGAATCTGTAGATTGCATTCCATTCACTTAATACTGAAACTAAACTATGAGGGAACTGATATTTCCAAGAATGATATAATACAAGACTCATTTCTACAACTGCCGTCCTTATTTTAGTTCAATTTCATCATACATGTATTAACAGATTTGTGTGTCACTCACTTCAGGGACTTACCAGGGAAAAGTCTTGTCAACTTAGTGTATGCTAATGACATTGTCCACCTAGGTTGTGAGAAGTGACCATTGAAACTGGAAGATACGAAAAGACTACTGGTTTTTGATCGCAGTGTCTGTGCCCTTTCTTCTGTGTTAAGTAGTCTAAAACGGTGAGTAATATTGGGGTGAAGCTTATTGTTAAGTAGAAATGTGACTTCAAAAGTTGTTAATAACACAGATGCATTCACTCTGTGTAATCTTACATATCTGAGCAACCCTTGTGTTCTTTCCATATCACTGTTCGTTTTCCATCACATTTATGCTCATTAGAGTTCCATTTGATTTCTTTTTTCTCTACCTTTGTGTGCTACATGGAATGTGATAACGTAAACAGGTGCACTTCTTTGCAAGCTTCTCTGTTGAAAGTCAGTCTGTCAGAATGATCTATAGTCCAGATATAATGAAATGCTAAAACGTGGATAAAAATAAGCAAAATGTTAACAAATGATAATCGCATTTTTTTATTCGGTTCTCGTCTAACTGAAAAAGAGTTGTCTTACAATAATTTCTCCTCTTACTCGAGATAACTTTTACACTCTGTCCCGTTACATCTCAAAATTTGCACTTCTCCACCGAGTTCCATGTTAAAACTCAGTCAGTTGGCTTTGTTACTGCAGCTGCCTAGTGTCACAACTCACTACAGTGTTAATTGGCACAAACAATTATGAATGCCGTTTCTTAAGTACTCAATGCATTTCCCATTTCCTTAAATTGTCCAGATAAAGTGCACTGAAGAAAACATAAGCCAGAAGTCAGTAACACGGACATAAGAATTAGTGCTAATAGAAGTGAATTAGATGGGCGATTTTCTTAAACCTTTCGTACGCTTAACTGAAATACTCATGTATCACTCACAAGATGCTCGTATCACAGAGGGCACTGAAACATAAACTAAGTCTAACATGAAATACCTTGGAGATGTTATATCCTCTGGTCTTTCTTGGTCACTCTATATCTTGTCGATTTCTGTAATATAATCTTTACAACTGTTTCGAATATTACTCCATAAAATGAGATACAATAATGTACGAGATGCTGCAAATTCAACACTAAAACATTATTACTGTTTTCGAACAAAGCAAATTATTATTACTGTTGCACCTCGCTGCAGTGTTAATCTGCTTATACCCTTATTATTGCTGTACCCTAAGTATTGCACTCATTTTCTCATTTCCTTGCACTGTGTAAATAGGGTGCGACGAAGACGTTACAGTGAACTATAAGTAACGCTGACGCAAGAAATGGTAGCAGTCGAAAGAAATGAAATGAGTTGAAGACCTTGTAATAATACTAGTAATCTCCCTTATTCCAAAACAGTACTTGACTTATTTACCTATGCATTTTAACGTGTCTTCTAATTATCGTATTTTTGTCTTTGTAGACATTGCCTAAGATGCCGTTGTACGCATCGTCTGGAAGCAGCCTTTAATTTCATCTACCTTCCGCGAATTTTGACGTACGAAAAGTCGAAATTGTACTGACTGGAAAACGCTACAATCGGTGTTACTCATGCGGCGATACGCCAGACTAGACAGGTTATAGCAACGTATGCCTGTAATAACATTACCTACATAGTAAATACAATGCTAGTTACAAAAACTCGTCATTATCTTTTCATTGCGTACTTACAAGATAAAAGGTTCACCTTACTTCTCATACTAAGTACTGGAGATTCCGCCTGGTACTCACTTTTACTTGCTCTCTAGAAAATGCTTTCTGCTATATTCGCAAATGACTATTAGACTTCTGTCACATGAAACGGTAAAACATAAGGCGTATGCAGTTTAGAAGTTAGGGTATAATTGCATTTATTGATACAAAATTTATGTACATCTCCCATTATTATACAAGAAAGTTCTCAAAGTAATTCAGAGTTGCTCGCAGTGCACTAATAATATATTCATTACTATAATTATCCTACATAACTGCGAAGCTTCTGTTCAATTGCCTGCGAAGTTGCAGTATCTCCATGCAGGGTTTCTTCACTGAACCTTCACATGGCACACGACTTGGTAGCAACGGATCCTGCCAAAACCATCTGCGACACAGGCGAATTTCTTTGTCAACTGAAAATATTAATTTAAATATTAGTAAGAGTTTGATTTACCTGTAAACTGAGGAATTTGAGTGTAACAGCAGCATATTCCGTCAGGGTATTCTTTGTGCCCTAAATATTCTGCAGGTACAAGTAGAATTGGTATAATCAACTTGGTGCAGTTATAGGCCGTCATTTATGATAGCCATATCATCAGTATACAACTCTACGTTCATCCGACGATTACAGCCATAGACCTTGGCAATTAACTTAGCGGCATAAGGAGTGAAGTTTCCTAATATCGGCATAACTGGTTCCAGTGCGTGGTACTTATGAATCCGACAACTTTCGACGATGACTTCAACACTACGACGCTTCTCTGTGCGTACACACCATTTATACGTCTTGTACATGCATACGTGAAGGGGATCTCTTCTGTGGAGATGTCGTTTTAGGTGACTGTGAGAGCTTTCAACTCTATTGTTGGTACTATTAAACAGCAACAGAGTATTCGGCATACATGCCGCAGCCCACGTCTCCTTCTTAAGCACCCAGTAATGCCTGACATAATTCCACACCCTCCGATCAACCATCCTAATGACACTAAGGTAGTGATGAAATCTAAACGGTTAGAAATCAATGCATTTACCTTTCGGGTGTAGCAGCTTTAACAAGACGATATAAAAACCTGCGTACAAAAGGATTTCGAGTCTAAATGCATCAAGTATTAATTACATTCACCTCACCTTCCTGCTGAAAGCCCGGCATACATGAAATGCACAGATGACGATTTTCGCCTGAATTTGACTATTACGCACGGCGGATATCTCACAGTTGGCCGAATCCATTACGAAAGTTTCTGTAATGGACGTATCCTGCATTATTCTTTGGAATTGTTCCAATATCCAAGCCACATCACATGACCTCTCTCGTCTCGTCCATGCCAAAAAACAGGCCTGCTATGACCCATATTGTCCGTTATCATCAACTGAAACAGAGAATATCTGATTAAGATTTGTCAACCGTTTCACGCATAACCTACCCGTCCTTATTGGTATTGTATGCTGAGTCAATACACACCACCTCTCCATATTTCCGATATAACTGAACCTGTGATTCCGGGGTGAAGCAAATTCTGCTGGTTATCCCTGTATTTGAATCCACGTATTCAACCACCTGACCGCTTTGCCTTATTATGCGCATAACATCTGATCTCAAAGGCATGGCTTCAAAAATAACTTTAAACTACATCACTTACCTGGTCTCACATCCTTGCGTAAATTATACACATCTGTGCTCGTCGAAATTTTATTAAAATTCTCTTCAGTATATTCTAAAACATCACCCACCTCAGATGTAGTCTTCACAACTGGTGCAATATTCTCCTTTTCATCCCCGGACAGGGGTCTAAAATATGAATCACCTATCATAAGACTTTGTTCACATCTGTGCTTGTGAACTGTTTTCGCGGAAGAAATGATAAACTCGTCCTCCTTGTAGCGTCTACGAAAGCCAGATTAGCAACCGGTGTATTTTGCACTGCAGAAATAAATAATAGAATTCTTACGGTTTGACGCGTAAACCTGAGCCTCCAGTTTTTCTCTTCGTGCCATATGTACAACGAAAGACTACTAATTTGTACTTCAACTCCTGAGATTCATGGTCCCGTATGCACTCTGTCATACATATATATATTACTGATTCCAGCTGACTTAGAGCATCTTCTACTTGAACCCAACTGGTATACCGGTGACTAAACAGAATACCGTCAAAAAGTTTTTTGATATCCACTGATATAGGAAGGGCAGGTTGGTTGCCATTGTCTCCAAGTGCCAATGCGTCCATTCGGTACCACTGTAAATGAAAACAGAAGCTTTCGAATTAAAAATTCACGAATAGTCAACAGAGTACAGTAAGCAACTTGAAAGAGACATTGACTTGGAAACTATACCGGAAAAAATATAAATTCCTTACCACAATTACCGTTTTGAAAAGTTCCTGATTATAGCCACAAACATTTACTGAAACACTCGTGAACGACAAATATGGACACAAGTGATAAAACGAAGCCCTACAGAAATCATTGAGACGCCACAAACAGGAGCATTTTAGGTGCACCCTATAATTTTCACATGAAACACATTCTCAAGCATCCTCCTGCACCATAACTGCCTTCAGGCCAAGAGGCAGCTTTTGACGACTATTCTTAACAAAATCAACACAGTTCAAGCCAAATAGAAACCAGAATCACGTCAAATGCAGCTACCTATATCAAGCGAAACAAATCAGCCAAAATGAAGTCAACTAGACCGCGCAAATGTCCTCAAGGTAAAGGTGGAGGCGCCACTTCAAACAGGGGATATGCCTTATCAACGCCCGATCCTGTGTAAAAGACATTTGAAACAGCTCAACATGACCTTATCCCACTCGAAATAAATCAGGCAGATGTAGATGGACCGCTTCTTTCACAGTTGGGGGACTAACTAAATGAAAGGAAATTCTGCGCTAAGGTCACTTGTGTCCGACCATCCTGGCACAGCTAGTCATCAGGAGTGTTGCGGGGCTTTATTCTAGAACCATTAGTGTTTTTGAATTTTGTCAATGACCTAATATTCTGTCAAAGTTGCCTGACATTTCTGTACGCATGTGACGTAAGGGTGCTCGGATGACTTGGATGGGCAGTAGTTAGACTGAAATCTCCTGGAAGACTGGGCGGTGGCCAATGGTATGACCTTCAACATGAAAGAGTGCAAAGTTGTGAAATTACTCAGCTTTAGGCTGCAGAAGATAAGACAACCCCGTGCAACGGAAGCTTGTCCTGCACAAGACCATCGCTTGACTTAGGTCTAATTCTAGCGGAAAAATTGACACAAGCGTGAAGAACACGGTTGGTGTCGCGAGGGCATATGTGGTCATACACTTTACATATAGACAGCTAGGTGCACCCACTACTGAGCCCTTTGTAAGGTTGTACAAGTCACACGTAAGACTGCCTTCTGAGGCGCACAAAATCACTGCACCCCCACTATTTAAAAGAGGTGCGAAGCTCTTGGAAAGAGTCCAGAGATGGGTGTGATAGGTCTCCGAAATAAACCGTATTATGAACGGCTAGAGGAACTAGATGTTTTCACACTTAGCTCCCATCTGTTTAGAGGAGACTTGATTCCTGCCTATAGGATAACAAATAACCAGGATCACTCAAACGAAAGAATTCTTCCATTAATTACGTATGCGCTTCTTCGTAGGAGCCCACGTAAGATAGCCCACCAGAGGGTAAAGACTCAAGTGCTCTCCCATTTCTTTTCACTGCGGGTTTGCTGTCCCTGGAACTCCTTACCTGCAGATGTGGCTACTGCACCGTCCATGACCAGCTTTAAGCGAAGGCTTGACAACAATTAAGACACACAAAGACGGAGTACAAATAGCCTATCTCATCAGAACTCACACACTATTAATGGGCATACACCTAATCTCATCCTTTATTTCTTCATATCCTCCACCGTCTTACTCTCCTGACAATTCCAGCTAATTTTTCCCCTACACTGTCATTATTATTACCGATATATATGTACCATGCATATATATCAACTTCAAACTTCATTAGCTGTCTGTTTCTACTTTCTCTTGCTTTCTTTTTTTCTAAATCCACATAACCTATACTAATTATAACTGCTATTGTCATCCAATTTTTTCGACCACACCGGACGAATAACAGGTGAAAAGATCAACTCCACTAACAGTAGCAGCACAGTCTTAATATATTGCACACTACAAATTACACATAGATAGCCCCAGCTTCACTCTTTTTGAAGTCAACCAAAGCTACGACAGTCGAGTAACAGGACCCAAAGAAGTCGGTGAATTTAGCCACTCCACCCTCAATGTCTCATTCGTCTACCTGTGTTGATGGAGGCACACTGCACAAAATATGATTTTCAAGGGATAAACCTGGGAGGACTTTTCTGTGTACACATATATGCTTAGAAATAAGAGGACAGCATTGCTTTTTCACATGTGGCCAAACCAAATAAACAACAGAGTATGAAAATTGCGTAATCAGTCCCATGGAGACATGAACATAAAGAAAGAAATAGGTGTCAGCTTCGAATAAATAGTAAGAAGATGGCTAATATGAGAAGAGTGGGTGCATGTATTGCATTTTACCCACTGTTTTTCACCTACTAACGTATCAAAATCGCATGTTTAACCGACGTTATACGCCCTCCATCATGCCACAAGTAAATAGAATAATTTCTTTTCCGCATAAACAGGTGAGTTCACAAGAAATGCATGCCGTTTTTATGGGCATGATCGGTGTAGTTATAAATTGTAATTATGAAACACCAAAACCTTAGCGCTTTTTCAAAAATTCAAGCTGTTGGGTTATAATACAAGCGATCAGAACAAGTTCGCATATTATTATGTTATTGTTTCCTTTAATTCCTACAGGAACATAGGGCTTCAGCCACGCGTCTCCATTGCGTTCGACTCTCTGCTAGAGTCTTCACCTGGCTCCAAGTCTGCCCACACGTTTTCAATTCTTCTTCACATGATCTCCTCCAAGTCACCCTTGGACGACCAACTCGCCGCTTCCATTTCGAGTTCCACTCGAGCAATGGCTTGTCTAGTGATGTCACTTGATGGTTTCCTGAGAGTATGACCAGTCCATCTCCATTTCTTCCTGCCTATTTGTTTTACAATCGGTTCCTGCTGTATTGGTTCGCTCACAGAGATCCCTCCCTGTTGCTGATGTTTTCTGGCCGGCCATCTGATCTTGAGTATTGAGCGAAGACAACTGTTGATGAAGGTCTGTAGTTTGTTTGAGATGCTCTTTATGACGCGCAGTGCAAGTCTCTGATCCGTATGTTGAGTAGCACTGACTTCATATTGGAGTTGAAAATCCGGATCTTATTTTCAGTTTCATGCTGAGTGCTGTTGTCCTCCACACAGACTTGAGAGTAATGAAAGCTTGCCTTGTTTTCCCGATCCGTGCTTTGATATCCTCGTCAGTTCCGTCCGCGCGTAGTTGAAATGATGCTTCCCAGGTAGGTAAAAGAGGTTGTTTCTTTCAGGTTCCTTCTATCTATGCTGATTGTTGCCTGTTGTTGTTGTTGCTGTTGGTGGTGTTGCCCAGGAATCCTAATCGCCTCTGTTTTCTCTATGTTCACCTGAAGTTCTTTCTTTGATGCTTCTTCTGCCAACTTGTTCACATAAGTGTTAATAATAATGTACTTTATTCCAAAAACAGTACTTATATTACAGAATGGAATTCTCAGCATTTGTCACAATATTGCATCTGATTTACTTAAAATATAAATAAAAGTTAAAATTAAAACAAAATTAACCAGAGAAATTTGTCCACATTTACGGTATAAAGTCAAAAATACTCGAAGTACAAAATGAGAATAATAGATATCATAATAATAACTGTGAGTTTGTTTCAAACAGCATTGGCAATTAATTTTGAAAATTTGAGCATGTTACAGATTATTGAATCTAATGTCTTCTCGATATAGCATGATGAGGGTAAATACAAAATTAACACATGTACCATAGCTTAAATGATGTTTACACTTATTAAAAAATAAACCGATATAAACAAAATTTGGGAGGACTATAGGTATGAGAAGCACAATAACAATAAAGGTTGATGTTGTAAGGCTGGAGGAAATGGTTTATTTCATAGTGCAAAGAAGGTTAGTTAGTTAGTTAGTTCATGCCTAACACTATTTTCACCACATAAAGCACGTGCCAAATATGGTATAGTGGAATTTATATACTTGGGCGTACGTGCATAAAGTCTTCTGAAAAGACTTCTTGTTTTACCTGAGGAGACACAACGTTGGACCTGCGGGCGCTGCAGTGGATGCTCACAGCCTGACAAAATTCCTTTAGCGAATTTGTTGCATGACATCAGGTGCCTATTAATGACAATGTCGACGATGTGGCGTAATGGGATACCACTCGCCCCACTGACGGTCAGTCTTCAGAGTTCTACGAAGTATGACATCGTCAAGTTATGCCTAAGCGCCTTAACTTCTTAATATAAAAAGTCAGATAAAATATTTTTGTTGGAATCGCTAAGACATGAGAAGGCCAGGATAGGTCAGTAGAAAGAATTAATCCAAGATATTTAGCGTCTTACTTCATTTCTATATAACTATCGTTAATTTTATATAGGAAACTGAAATTAACAGTCTGACATTTGGAAGGATTTATTTTAGGATCATTATTAATAATAATAATAGTATATTCTCATTTTTTTACATGAGGAACGCCAGTGTACAGGCATCATCAATTCGATAAATTACACATACGATTAGTAAGTATAGTTAGTAATGATAATATAGTAGGGTACATATTTATTCATACAAATATAGGACACACAAGTTGTATAGGAATGGATAAGAATCATTTAAGTTACATATTTAAATTACATGGATTACGGTTAAATAACATGGTTGCTGTCATTTTATCTTTAGTTTGTGGGGAAAATCGGATAACTGGTGATTCAATGGAACACACCAAGAAATATAGAGATACTGACTTCGCATTAACAAAAAAACCCAAGTATGCGTTTGATGGATTACATACACTTGGGAAAATAAATAAAGCTTGAAGTCAATTCCCTCATAAAACAATAAAATGCGTCTTACAATAATATATTCCCACTTTATGCACTTGAGAGACTCCAGTTGACAGGCATCATCAATATGATAATAATGCACACATGGAGTAAACATGTTTAAAATTTTTCACTAACACAAAAAATATATACAAAGGAAGATAATGAAATATTGACCGTGAGTACACTCTGCATAAGTAAAAACAGTTTATATGGCATAATCCTAGGCACAATTATTGTTTGATTTTGTTGAACATGAGCGTAACAACTGAGTGTTGCGTTACATTTGGTCGATATGGTGGGCTAGTCACAAAAGCATAAAAATGGCTTATAAAACGTTACTTAGTTTACCGTAAACGATGTTTTAAGCAATATAATCTGCAAAAGGCTCACCACAGCAGTTATTATCCAGTTAAACATCCAGAGAAGTAATCATAATTCAGCAACTGGTCAATTTTTTATTCTTTTCGGTCTGGAACCTGAGTAAATGCGACCCAATCCATACAAAAATGTCGAAAGAGGCATGCAGGAGCAGAATATTGCTATCGAATGAGTCATTGGGATCTGAAATGCAGCTATCAGCATATTTTCGTCATTTCATAGATATCCAGATTTATTGACGCTGTATAGGTAGTGATTTGGATTTGTCATCATGATCGACATATCGATGAATATTCAAATACGTACAACTTGTTTGCCTTTCGGATTCAGTTAATTACATCGCGTGTTGGGTTTGATTACTCTGCGATTTTGATATATTCCGCGGTGTCGCCGTGATTATGGGAAGTATGCATATGCTTTAAATGCATTACTTTGTTGGCTGCAATCTCCACTGAGTGTATACAACGGGAATTGTGGATTTATGTAGTTCCTCATCACTGTGGATAAAATATCGCCGCATTCCTTTTGGAAAGGAGACCAGTTGGTGGATTATAAATGATTTCCAAGTAACTTATATCCTTCCATGTGATGTTGTGGTAAGTCTCGACCTTGTTTTCTCATATTTCATTCGTATGTTGATTATGGTTCAGGCTTTGTATCAGGTAGACATAATTCGGTCGACTCTTATGTGTATGGGTGTTATTTTCATGACTACTGCTTGTTTGTCTGAAATTATAGATAAAGACAAACGAAACAACAGGTGTAGTCTCTAAGTTCAAACATTAAATGGGCCTATAATTTCTGAAGCTCTTACATGGGAATTAGCGCTGTTATCACTTGCAAACCCACTTAGTGTGTCATTAAGAGCTTTTTCAAAGGGCACCAGTGAGCTTGCTAGTCGCATTTCCTCAGGTAGTTTGTTCCATATTTGGGCATACCTAATCATGAAAAAGTTTTGCCTGGTGGCTGTTTTACATTGTTCTATAGCCACCGTACCTTTAGTGTGTCTAAGGTTATATCCAGTGTCTTCTGAAAACCGAGTACAATTAGTAGGGGTATACACTATGTGGTTAAGTAGTTTATAGAAGAGTACCAGATTTAGTCGCAGTCGTCTTAACCATAATGTTTCTAGTCCTAGAATTTCACATCTGGTAGAGTAGTTTGTGCCGTTTTCGGTTCCGAGTACTTTTAGCGTGAAGTACCTCTGTACTCCTACTTTCAGTTTGTCTTCTATGCGTATACTACTAAATATGAATGAACAATAGTCTAGGAGTGGGCGCACACAAACCTTGTACAGTAGTATTCTGGATTCACTTCTGTAGAAGTTCCTGAGTAGGAAACCAATAAGCCTGCGTGATTTCGATACTTGTTTCGAGATATGCTCAGAAAATGATAGATTGTGTGAATATGTCAGTCCTAGGTCTAGCACAGATTTGAGTCTAGGGATTTTGTGGCCCTGAATTGCTAGGTCGAGTTCTAGGTTGGGACAGCCTATGCAGAGCCAGCCACACTTTTCGACATTAAACTCAAGTCTCCAGGTGTCACACCATATATCCATTTTTGTTAATTCTTCATGTATGGAGTTCATAGTTGTACCGATATCTGTGTTTGTGCAGGTATATGTCACCTTTAAGTCATCTGCATACAGTATTGGCTTGCCTATACTAAAGCACTCACATATACTGTTTATGTATATAATGAAAAGAAGGGGTCCCAATACACTACCCTGGATGACACCACTGCTAAACGGCCTAGGCCTGGAGGTCATCGAGCCAATTTTTGTTGTCTGATTTCTGTCACTGAGAAATGATTTTATCCAGTTGTGGAGGGGGTTGCGTATCCCTAGTGAGCATAGCCTGCTGACTAACAGACTATGTGGGACTCTGTCGAAGGCTTTCCTGATATCGAAATGTTAAGATCTAAGAACCTTTTAGCGTACGTTGTGATTGGCGAACCGTTTGCGGTGCGAAGCTGTAAGGAAAGTGGCTTCTGGCGCTCTTCAGATGTTGGTGGAATCACGCCAACTTCCGCCCCAGTGTCAACCAGGAAGCGTGTCACAGTGTTACGGTCAGTAACATAGAAGAGGTGACATGGAAGTGGTTCGCCAGTGACGTCAGTCGCCAATACGTGCTGGCTTACTGGTTTCCCGTTTGCTGGACATCGAAGGTGTACGGGCGAGTACACTTTTGGACCTTGTCACCATAACGCCGGTGATAACAGCACACTCCAGGTTGGGAATTGTGAGACCTACGACGCCTGCTGCCCGCTCGCGAAGAAGATCTACTACGAGTCGAGTTGGTGCGGCTATTCGAGCGACCTCTAGGTCTCACATCGAGTCTCAGGTTACATATCTCCTCATAAAGCTTAGTTATGTGGGCCACCACATCTAAGTTTGATGACCCCTCGGCAGAGGAGTCCTTAGTCTGAGTTGGACCAGCGGTTACGGCAGCCGAAATGTTCATGTTGGATGTAGTAGTCTCCACTACTCTATCGGCCGCCTTAGCTAGTTCGGATAAGGGGGAATGGTTGATTGGAGCTAAAATGGTCTGAATCGCCTGTGGCAATCGTTGTAACCACAGCCGTTTTAAAGGGGCGTCATCTATTTTGAAGTAGGCCAATAACTGTCTCATCTGACGTAACACGTCGGGCTCACCACTTGTAAGAGTTAGACTCGGTTCAATTTATACCTAAATTAATCACTCTTACAAAATCTTCTTCACCGCTTCATGATCTTAGTTGTACTCTGTCTAGTGTGCAAATACTAACGAACTGAATCAAGGTAAAAAGACTTGATATGACTAGCGTGACTGGAACAGAGTTATATTTACACAAAAGCGATATGAGATTTGATAAAAATAAGAGGTTATGACTTATCTGCAGTCGAGACGGTGGTAAGCTCGGAGAGTGTGCCGGATGAAAGCACAACGAGAGAGCGAAACCAAAACCGTGCTGGAGATTCACGAATCGAAGGAGGAAGTGGTGCTAGAGGTCAGGTGAGTCCGTTCAAACAGAAGTTTGAAGGTTCAATGTACACTACACTTTCTTTATCGCACAGAACACGAGCTAAGTGGGATATGGTTGAGTTTTTGTCCCTGCTAGTGCGAGCATATGGTTTTCTATATACAGTCTTCTGGTCGTGCCTGTTGAGATACAAAGGGAGAGTTGTGAATGAAGAGGGTGGTGTGAGTTAGATGGAATGGATTCAGTCCATTTTTCACATGAGTCCAAGTGCCTGTCGACCAGAATATTAGCAAGCTGGTTAAGTGGCACATTGCTTAGCCTGCTGAAAACCTTTAACATCCTACGTAATGAGATGTAGTCCTTCTTCAGTAGCCCTGGAAAAACTAAGGGGGGACAATAGGGAATAACAGGCAGGATGCAAGAGTTAACGAATCGTAAGAGTAAGGGTTGGGTTATTCCAGAATGTCTTAACTTCTCGATGTAGAAGGTTAGATGGAATATTTTCTTAGAAATAAATCATCAAGATATGAGACGACCAGGAAAGATCAGCAGCTAGAATGACGCCAAGATAATTAATTTCCGACTTGGTCTCTATTTCAGTGCCATCTATGTTGCACACCTCTTGAGTGTTCCTCCAATGACGGTGGAGATATAATGGTATCACAAGTAACATCACTTGGAACGACAAGTTGTTGGGGAGTAACCATGTTTCCTGGAGTAATTTCTGGCTGCGGCTCAATTTCACGGGATTTGGAATATAATTCTGTGTACATTAGTTTGAAATAACAAGCTTACCTTCTAAATGCTTCTTGCACTCACTCCAGTTTGTATTTGTTGAGACGTCGATAGTACACTGATCTATATCGGCTGAAGTCGAAATTAAGTTTCGCTGCTTCGTCACAGAAGATTGAGTAATGTAACTTACGTAGTCTCAAGTACGTCCGCCGTTGCGGTTCGACACTAGCTGGTGTTCTGATGTCATTTAGGTTCTTTAGTGTCTTGGTCATGCTGGACGGAGAACCCTTCAAGCTCATTTTACCTGGAAGAAATCGGAAAAAGTTTAAACGAACGGATTTCCGCAGTCTACACTGATTTTATGCTTTATGTCTAATAATAAAAACAGGCAGTACTGTGTAATAGTCGTAATATTAAACATATAAGAAGTATGCAATTAATTCCTGACAAAAAATTGGTAAACTAGGAGGTTGGCAAGCACGCAGGAAACTCACGGCAGTGGAAATACAAACGGAGAACTCAACCGCTTCCAAGGATTCTAGTCCAGTAAAAGAATTCTGATGAAGTGGCCTATTATGATGTATTTAGATAGTAGAAAGTATGTTTAATTGATTGCCTATATTAAATTTATGTATTACTAATCACTAATTCAGATTCATTGTAACGCAGTTTAGCAAAGTTAGCTGTCATTGGTTGATGATGAAGTACATATGGGTTACTCCCATTGGTTGATTTCTAGCCAAACACCGCTCATAAGAATGACCCAAAAAATCTGCAATGCGCCCTAAGTTTAAGTCGGAATCTGCAATGTGCCCTAAGTCTGCCCCAAAAAGTCTGCAATGCGCCCGAAGTCATTGCTGGCTGGGTACTGGAAACAGCCAGGACAATTTACCCTATACAGACTATGTAAGTGGATAAAATCAAAACTGAACAGACAAAAGTCAAGTTAAAGTTTTAGAAAATGTTCCTGAGGTGAATAATACAAAAAAAAGCGATTTCTCAAATACGTGAAAAAAGGAATCCCTTTTACAAACATCATTAGTTTGCGCGCGCTAGTGTAGTGCTGCAACATCCCACTGGATGTGCAGAATGTTGTTTTGTATGTGAATATGAGGACCTTGTAGACTACGAGCGAATCTAACTAATGCGCTGGCTAATCTGTCCTAATCGCACGTCAACAACAACAACAATACCGCCGGGCACGCAAGACAAAGAAAGAGAAGACTGGACGTTGATACGAGAGCTTTTACTGTCTCTACAACAGTCGAAAATGTTAAACACAAACTCCGTATTTATACAGTTAGGAAAATCAATGTCACATTTTAAAAATATTAACAAACCCTAGGAATTCAGTAATTTAAATCAATAATCACGCAGATGCGTGAAATCAATGATTATGCTAGTGTGTGAAATAAATAATGAATATTAATGATTCACCTGTGTATATATTACCTCCCCCTTTTAAAAAGAATCTTGCAACCAGTTTAGTATCTTTTTTCCTTGGGGTCAATTTGGAAATGAACTGTTTGTGTTCGTTTGCGCTGGGATCGTCGGCTGGGTAGCACCTCTTGTTTTGCTTCCGGTTTGACTGGTGGTATTTTGAAAGTTTCCAGTAGTAATTCCAGTGGCAATTTAGGTTCTTGGGATGTAGTATATCGACGTCGTATCTGATTTTTATGTCTAATCCACCATTCATCCCCAACTTTAACCTTGTGCATTAGAGTTCCATGTCGACATTCTATCAAGCCTTCGGCCCATTTTCTGTTCCTCGGTCGATAATCGCGCACATAGACGGCATCACCCTTGCGGTAATACGTCAGACTATTTCTTCGTTTGTGTGACGAAGATGGTAACATGGAGTGGTGATGAGTTCGTAGCATTCGACCCATTAGAAGTTCTGCAGGGCTTTTCTTCTGTTTTGCCAGTGGTGTAGTTCGGTATACAAAAAGAAAGTTTTGTATTGCTTCCGGTTTCGCCCCTCCCCCTGCTTTCAACAACGCTCGTTTGAAAGTGTCGACAAATCTCTCTGCCTGACCGTTGGATTGCGGGTGATAAGGTGGCGTCCGCACCTGTTGTATACCGTTTCTCTTGCAAAATTCCTGGAACGCTTGTGGGGTGAACTGACTGCCATTGTCAGATACGATGATTTCTGGTATACCGTGACATGCGAAGATCTTTTCCAGGACTGATACTGTTCTGCTGCTAGAAGGTGGTGTCACTTGTACTACTTCCGGCCACTTTGAGTAAGAGTCCACGAGAACCAAGTAGTATATACCTTCTATCGGCCCAGCAAAATCCACATGTAGGCGGGACCATGGTTTTGACGTGGGCCATGCTCTCGGTGGCTCCCGCGGCGGATCTTTGGCTGCCATGACAGACATCACCTTCAGTTTTTGAGCAGAGCCCGTCTTACGGGAGCTAACAGCTGCTACTTTGTTGCTACCAGACATCGAAGCACTTTTGGCGCAGCCATACTCACTGTGACGATTCGAAGTTGGTTTTTCATTAATGACGTCATTCTTTATAATGGGTTTAGGTCTATTATATCTGTCTCTTATATCTGGTTTTCTTGTTGAGGGCTCAGTACTTTCGATCTTATGGCATACACTGCTTAACGGAATCTCTGATAGGAGCAGGTTCTCGAACCAGTCTAAACCCAAGAGGTCAAGGTTTGAATTATTGATGTAGCATGTGCCGACGAAATGACTATCGCGAAAACCAACGCTGCATTTAACTTCTCCATTCAATCGAAGTCTTCCGCCACATGCACTGATTGCTATCTGATTTGTCTTCTCTATGGCAGGGCATCCCAACTTCTGCCATAATTTCTTTGATATTATTGTAATGTCAGATGCTGTGTCGATTTGTAGGCGTGCCGGCCGTGTATTAATCGTTAGATCGATATATTTGCGAGGTGCTGGAGTACTAATA